GCAATATGCTGACTCTGTAAACCGCTTAGAGAGGGCTGAAAGCCCTATGAAGCGGTATATAAGTCTAACTGCTATTGCTATTGCTATAAAAAGGGAGAGGGAAAAGAAAAACCCGGATTAATGATAAATATTAAGGTAATGACAATCAGCATGCTTGGTGAACTTGCAGTTGTCTCTGAAGAAGCAAAGGTGGTGGACAGTTTTATGTTATTGCACTGAAGAAGAGATAAAGAGGAACAATGCATAGGAGAAGTAAACAGATTAATCCTAGAGAAAAAGGCAATATGTCACACTTCAGCCTGGCACAACTGCAAATTTAGGCTCTCTAGATTCTCAACCCCTTGTTCTGGAACTGACTTACTAAATGGCAGACATTTAGACATGGGTCAACCAGTGTAAATACTTTACTGTAGTCAAGAATGAAGCCAACTACAACAAGCCCTCTGCCTGCTGAAGCATACAGCCATCAAAACCTATTTAGATGCCATTACTCCAATATTTACATTCTAGCGTCTCTCCTTCCACTTTTCTTTGTTTAATGCATATTTGATAGCTTTCCGTCAAGGTCATAAAGGTAACCGGGATTTTATTAACTGAACAGTTCATTTCTAATCTAGGAACGGCTGGTCCCCAGCTTCATTCCCAACCATGAAAAATTTAGGCAACCCCCCCAAAAAAACCACGGATAAGGATATTTTTAGGACAAGAAAGATCAGAACTGGTATAAAGGTCTTTCCTGGGGTAAAGTGTTCCTGTGAAATTTGGCTATTGTAAAAAAGAAGAAGAGAAAGAAGGTAGATTTGTTCACATTCTGAATCGGAGGATGGTTACAAGGAGGTGTCATGAATTAGCAAAAAAGCCAGATAATCAATGCGTGGCTAAATAAAAGAGGATCTTGAGATGATCAAGAAAAAAAACAACGTTGGGCATATGCAGTAATATAAGCAGATGATGACATTTATTATGTTTGGCAAGATTGAGGACACATGTTCTGACCTAGGCTTCCTGAGAGCATGAAGCAAACTCCTTGTCACTGTGAATTCTGCTCATTCACATCCAGCAAAGTCTTTCCAGGGAGGATTTATNTTATAAAGGTGTAATGTTATTAGAGATCTATTGAAATTGCAAATGAATGCTAGTAGGTGGTTGTGTCTTTTAATATAAATGATTCTAGATAAAAAACATGTTTAAACAATAGTAACTAAATCAGAATTTTGGTACAGGGATAGTAAAATACATAACTTTTCTTTCTTGACTTAAAATCTACAACCTGATTTGAATGACGCATATGTAAGGATTGTGGAAGAAACGCAGGGAATATATTTGTAACAATCGATACGCTTTCAACAAGATGTAACGAAAGATGATTTTTTTGTTGTTGTCTTTTTGTTTAACTAAAACAAAAAAAATTCTCAAAAAAAAATCACTGCGGGAATTGACTTCACAACTGTGGCAAGAAAGGTCATAAAATAGGGACCAACTCACTTAACAACAGTCTTGCTTAGCAATAGAAATTTTGGGCTCAGTTATGGTCATAAGTTGAGGGGGTGTAGAGTGTTTGGTAGTGTTTTCCCCCTCCAGTGGTATTTCCTTCAAATGCATAATAATAAAACCATCTGTCCTTATGATTACTTTTAAGATCAGTTCCATCTCATTAGCTTTGATACTATTGTCAACTAGATTTTTTTTTCTTTTTAAAAAAGGCAAACAAACTATTTCAAGAGTTTTGACTTCCCCCCTCAGGGCTTGGCAGTTTTCAGAAGTTGGACATCAGCTGACGGCACTTAAATTGGAAATTAGCCTTTGGGAAGCCTTGCTCATGGACCAAACAAGAAGAATTTTAATACTGCCCACATGATCCTCCATTAGAAATAAAACATGTGATGACCTTAATAAGAACAAACAAAACAGAGGAAACACCAGCAATTCTTCCCCGGGGAAAGTTTGCGATATTTAAATCCTAAACATTCAAGTTATCATCCCGTTCAGGAAAGTGATTTAAGAGTTTGAACGCATATTATTTTAACGCTGGAAGTCTCCAGGATCATCCTGATTACTTTGGGTGGCCATTTGTTGAATACATGAATAAAATAAATGCATATTTGTGTGTGTGTTTGTAAGTGTGTGTGTGTAGGTTTTTCAGTTCAGTTTTTTTATTTTACAACATATAAAAATACCATTTTCAATTAAACAGTGTGTTGTCTGGGTACAAACAGCTTTAGGAAATAATAATCCAAATGTAAGTCTTTGTGTTCGTAAGCATGCACATCAGTGGAATGGGCCCAGAATCAGCCACGTGAATGCGTGCGGTGTGCGCATGCGTTGTAGCTGCCAGCGACACTTCCACAAGCCTCCGCCATGCTCCAGCTGCTCGTCGGAGCGTCACACAGGCGCTGTATGTGGCATGCGCGGAAGCCCTGAAGCAGGGGTGGGTTTCAACCGGTTCGCGGCGGTCCCCGCGAACCGGTTGGTCGGCGAACCCGGAAGTAAGTAACTTCCGGGAACGGTGAAGGGNCCTCTTCTTCCTCCTCCTCTTTCTCTTCTTCCTCCCGCTGTCATTCTCTTTCCTCCTCCTCCTCTTCTTCCTCCTCCTCTTTCTCTTCTTCCTCCTGCTGTCATTCTCTTTCCTCCACCTCCTCCTCCTCCTCCTCCACCACCACCACCTCCTCCTCCTCCAACAGCACCGCTACCACCTTATCAGCTAAGCGCAATTCACACTCAACGCTGTTAAATCTCCCAAATGAAAACATTGTCCCATTTTTTCCATGGCCACTCAGCCTTGGTGACACGGGTGGCCACATAAACCCGATAAACAAACAAAGCAAGTTATTTCCAGAGGCAGTTGTGTTACTCCAAAGGGAGGTTTCCTCTCCTCCACCTCAAGAGCAGGGTTCAGAAGGCACCCAAGGGGTGTGTGTGTGTGTGTGTTTTGCAGGGTCCAGCTTTTCAGATGGATTCCACCTTTGCCTCTTTACAAAGCACTTACCTGCAGTTGCAGTGGGCCTAAACCCGGGGTGGCGGCGGCGGCGGCAGCTGCCATTGTGGTTGGAATCAGCTGAACGGGGTAAGGGTCACCTAAGTAAGAAAATAACAGAGGCGTCAGCACCTTTTATCTACTCTCCACCTGCAAATTAAACTCCTGCATTCACTCCTTCCAAAAGCCTCTCTTTTTTTTTGTCTGCCTCGCAGAGTTCTAATGAAAAGCTCCATTGTGAGGCCTTTTACTAACACTCTTCACAATTTCTGGCTGAGGGAGGAACACGAATAAAAGGGACAAGCAATTAAGGCGGAAACATCATCCTTTTTTCATGATGTATTTAGGGAAATGGGGAGGGGGAGGAGGAAAGCGCGCCTGGATCACTGAGCTTCCCCCGAAAAAGGGGAGGTGGGGGAAAGCATGAAGGAAATAGAAGAAGAAAGAGAGAGACAGAGAGAAAGACAGAGAGAGAGAAGAGAGAGAGAGAGNAACCTTGCACATGCGCACACTAGAAACAGGCTCCAACTGTTCGTCTGCCTCATTGATGTCGGACTCTGAAGGCAGCTGATAACTGGCATACGGCCCTGGTCCTCTCTCTGCCTCCAACACAGAGCCTTCATCAGAGCCTTCCCCAGTCTCCAGGACTGGCCCATGTTCCTACCCAACCTCCTCACTGTCCGAAACTGCTGCCAGCTCTACTGGCTACTGGCAGGCCACAACAACACAAGAAAGGGAAGACAACAAGAAAATGGAATCCAAAGGACAATTAGAATGTCCTTGAAAGGAAATACCAAGTATTATTTGGGACAGGGTCAAAACAACAATGACATGTCTATTTGTTCACCAGGAGTTGAGTCAATAGCACTAAGGTCATTAACTTGGAAGTTTATGGCTTTTCTCTCCCACCAATACAAGATAAAGAATCATTTATTGCTGTAGATTCACCCTATCTGTCGATTCTCCAAGAAAGAAAAGAAGGCCCCAGCTCTCATATCCATCTACCCATGAGATAGCCCATAACTTTGCCATTGAGATATCTTGCAGGGTGAAGCAAGGTTTCTAATGGCCAATTTGACAAACCTTAGGAATAAGGAGGTGATTCTTCCCTCTTAGAAATTCAAGGAAGAAGAATGCTCTGTGTAACCGATGGGCATGTGGAGAACACTTAATATTATAAGCTCAGCATAGCAATGGAGAGTGACCCAAGCTTTTCCACCACCCAAAAGTTCAATCCACGATTTGAATAGAATATCAACTATCATCTCATAGAATCATAGAATTATCATACAGGGGAGATGGGTGGCATAAAAATCAAATGCATAATAATAGAATCATAAAGCTGGAAGGGACCTTGGAGGTCTTCTGATCCAGCCTCATGTCCAAGGCAGGAGTCCTTATATCATCCCAGACAAATTGTTGTCCAATCTTTTCTTGAAGACCTCCAGAATCCACAATTCCAGGATGCAAGAAGTTCCATCAATTAACTGTCCAAGAAATTCCTCATTTTCAGGTTGCATCTCCTCCCATTGAGCTTCTGCCTATTGCTTCTTGTCCTCTCTTCAGGTGTTATGGATCATGAACTAATGCCTTCTTCCCTGTGGCATCCCTTCAAGCGTTGGAAGACTGCTATCATCTCTCCCCTAAACCTTCTCTTTCTTCGGCCAAACATACCTAGGTCCCTTAACTATGATTCATACAATTTAGCCTCTTATCATCTTTGTTGCTCTTCTTTGCACTCTTTCTAAGGTCTCAGCATCTAGTGCACCGCTAGAGTTCCAACTAACCAGGCACTTTACCTATAACAAAGAGTTTTGTCTCTGCTTACCATCATTCCAAAGTCCCTAAGGTAGGGCCTTTAATTTGCTACCAGTTATGGACTACAACTGGCAATTCCTGGTCACATTTTCAAAAACTAGAAATTCTGAATATTACAGTCCCAGAACACTTGGAAGATCCATCATGGAAGGCTACAGGCTGAAGGCATGTGATGGAACCATCTTGCTAAAGCTAAGAAAACTCTGTTCCAATGGGTGGGAGTTCATTATGGAATTGTGCCCGTGCCATTATTAGAGAAGTAAGGAGTTGTCTGTCTATCTGTCCGTCTGTCTGCCTGTCCGTCCGTCCGTCCGTCCATCCATCCATCCATCCATCCATCCATCCATCCATCCATCTATCTACCTATCTATCTATCTATCATCTATCCATCCATCCATCCATCCATCCATCCATCCCAGTGGTTCCCAAACTTGGCAACTTTAAGACTTGTG